ATCCACACTCCATTCCCTAAAACCCCCCCCCCCCCATCCACACTACATTCTCTGACAGCTCTCCCCCACCATCCACACTACATTCTCTGACAGCTCTCCTCCACCATCCACACTACATTCTCTGACAGCTCTCCTCCACCATCCACACTACATTCTCTGACAGCTCTCCTCCACCATCCACACTAGACTCTCTGACAGCTCTCCCCCCACTACATTATCTGACAGCTCTCCTCCACCATCCACAAAACATTCTCTGACAGCTCTTCCCCCACCATCCACACTACATTCTCTGACAGCTCTCCTCCACACTACATTCTCTGACAGCTCTCCCCCACCATCCACACTACATTCTCTGACAGCTCTCCTCCACCATCCACACTACACTCTCTGACAGCTCTCCCCCCACTATCCACACTACATTCTCTGACAGCTCTCCTCCACCATCCACACTACATTATCTGACAGCTCTCCTCCCACCATCCACACTACATTCTCTGACGACTCTCCCCCACCATCCACACTACATTCTCTGACAGCTGTCCCCCACCATCCACACTACATTCTCTGACAGCTCTCCTCCACCATCCACACTACATTATCTGACAGCTCTCCCCCACCATCCACACTACATTCTCTGACAGCTCTCCTCCCACCATCCACACTACATTCTCTGAGCTCTCCCCTCACTGTCTATAGTAGCTTCTTCTGCAGGTTCCTCCCAATGTCCTCCTTGCTGTAGAGTGTCCTTCTACACTGATGACTCTTGTAAGTAGTCCCTTCACTTATCATTGATATGATGGGTTAGCACATTTGTTACAGTGATCCTTTCACTGGCTACATCCATATTCATGTTTTTCAGTAGCGCACATACAAATAAGACATGGACCGGGCTCCAGTTATTCTTCCTGAAATTTTATTGCCTTTTAATTGGCACCATTGCATGTTTGTTGTAAACGCATTAGTATGGTTGACCATTTGCACTCCACCTGTTTCAAGGATTGTCAGTTTGTTACTCACCTTTGTGTCCTATCCTCCATCATAACTACTATTGTGTTGCTCAAGTATTAGTTTACTGCTATGATGCTGTCTTTGTAAGTCTGAGTCCAGCTCAGCAATTTTTTTGTTGTTTTAGGACAGAATTGCTATATTATCTAATTCCCACAGGTCTAGAACTATAAAACCACACCCCTCTAATTTCCAATTATAATAATTCCCGCACTTTTATTATGAAGGGCCATTTCGAGAGTGAGTTTTCTGGTGTATAACCAAACTTCCCTTCCTAGAGAAACATTTCCCGCACTCTGCACACGGAAAATAATTTTCACTCATGTGAACACTCTGGTGTCTGAGAAGTCCACTCTTCTGACTAAAACATTTGCCACACTCTGAACAGGAGAAAGGACGCTCACCACTGTGAGTTCTCTGGTGTCTTAAAAGATCTCCTTTCTCGGTAAAACATTTTTCACATTCTAAACAGGAAAAAGGACGCTCCCCCGTGTGGCTTTTCTGGTGTCTAATAAGGTGTCCCTTCTGACTGAAACTTTTTCTGCACTCTAAACATGAAAAAGGGCCATCCCGAGTGTGAATTTTCTGGTGTGCAATGAGATTTCCTTTCCTAGAGAAACTTTTCCCGCACTCTGAACATGAAAAAGTGTTTTCTCCAGTGTGAATGCTTTGGTGTCTTAGAAGCACACTTTTCTGAGTAAAACATTTTCTGCATGCTGAACAGGAAAAAGGACGCTCACCAGTGTGAATTCTCTGGTGTACAATAAGTTTTCCCTTCACAGGGAAACTTTTTCCACACTCCAAGCATGAAAAAGGATGTTCACCTGTGTGAACTCTCTGGTGTCGAAGAAGTTGTGCTTTCTCAGTAAAATATTTTCCACACTCTGCACAGGAAAATGGACGCTCACCTGTGTGACTTCTCTGGTGTATTATAAGGTCTCTTTTCTCAGCAAAACTTTTTCCACACTCTAAACATGGATAAGGACGTTCACCTGTGTGAATTCTCTGGTGTCTTATAAGGTGTCCTTTTTCAGTAAAACATTTTCCACACTCTGAACAAGTAAACGGACGCTCTCCCGTATGTCTTCTTTGGTGTATAATGAGGTCTCTTTTCTCAGTGAAACATTTCCTGCACTCTGAACAGGAAAAGGGACGTTCACCCGTGTGAATTTTTCTGTGTCTTAGAAGTTCTCCATTCCAAATGAAACTTTTCCCGCACTCTGAACATGAATACGACCGCTTACCTGTGTGAATAAGCTGGTGCTTAAGAAGGTCTCCTTTGTCAATGAAACATTTTCCGCACTCTGAACATGAATAAGGACGTTCACTTGTGTGACTTCTCTGGTGCCTAAGAAGACTTGCTTTGTGAATGAAACACTTCCCACACTCTGGACATAAATAGGGACGCTCAGTTGTCTTACTTTTTTCATGTCTAACAGGTGCTATGTTCCCACACACCAAACTTGACAGTGACCTCTGTCCTGTGTGAATTCCGTAACATAAAGATTCCTCGGGATTAGGATATGTTGATCTTTCTGTAGAGTCAGATCTCAGATGTGTATCTGGAGTAACAGTCTGTGATTGGTCGGAAGATTCATCAGGATTAGAGGGATCCATTGATGTCTCTGAATGGGCAGGTCTGTGATGTCTATTATGAGTAATGGGATTCAATCCTGGAGAATGTTGTGTGATGTCATCATCTCCTTCATAACAACCTGTAGATAGAATAAGACGTCTCTCCGTCATATTCCAGACATGTCTTCCATCTGTTGGGAAGAAAGTTATAAATAAATGTTATAAATATTCTCCATGTCTTCCATTAAGTCATATATGTTGTCCTAGAACCTAACAGTATGTCAGAGCTCATGGTAATGGAGAGAGACCTTCATATGGTGTACAGTGTCTCCTCCTCATTTGTTGGTCACATGACGTTATATTGGGGAATGGAGATGGACCTTCATATGGTGTACAGTATCTCCTCCTCATTTGTTGGTCACATGACGTTATATTGAGGAATGGAGATGGACCTTCATATGGTGTACAGTATCTCCTCCTCATTTGTTGGTCACATGATGTTATATTGAGGAATGGAGATGGACCTTCATATGGTGTACAGTATCTCCTCATTTGTTGGTCACATGACGTTATATTGAGGAATGGAGATGGACCTTCATATGGTGTACAGTATCTCCTCCTCATTTGTTGGTCACATGACGTTATATTGGGGAATGGATACATTTGTGCTATTTTTGTTGGACCAAGCTTTACATTTTTTGGTGGGCTTAACTGTGAACCCATCAAATGATTTACTTTTCGCATACTTTAAATTCATGGAATTTAAATAAAAATGTGACCTGTTTCTGCATTTAGTGTTATGTGTATGAAGTGTATGACTTACTTGTGTCCATATGTAGAGAAGATTCCTCTTCTTTACTCTTCACAATCATCTCCCCCTCCTCCATAGACTGTTGAGCTCCACCCACCAATGTCTCTTCTTCTTCTTTAACCTCAACTTTGATGTCTTTCAGTTCTACAGCCTAAACCCCAAACATAGAAGAATACATTTATGAAAAGAAGAATGTCCTCTCAACGCTTGAAATACGTTTTTAGGTCTACATTCTCAGCCGTGTCTACCTGATCATGGTGAGGGATGGTGAGATCTTCCTGTGTGGAATCCCGGGAATACAGAGGACAGGGACATCTCTCTGGTGGGTTCCTCTTACTGGATCCATCTGTAGGAAACACACACACACTGACTGAATACATTGTTTCTATGTGTGTATCAGATGATGGGGGATCTAGGTGGACCCTCCGTACTGCTCTCTCCTCTTACCCGGTGATGTGAGGGGCGGCTCACTCTCCATCACCACGTCCTTGTAGAGATCCCGGTGTCCTTCTAGATACTCCCACTCCTCCATGGAGAAATAGACAGAGACATCCTGACACCTTATAGGAACCTGACACACAATGATACAGTCACCATCCAGACACATCCCTTGTCTGTTCCTGGATCATGTCCCAGAATTCCCGGCACCGCTCACCTCTCCTGTCAGTAGCTCAATCATCTTCTGGGTGACTTTTAGAATCTTCTTGACATTGCGTATCTCTGTTGTCAGGCAGTGAGGTGGAAGCTCTGTGATGGGTGATGTCTCATGTAGACAGCTGTTGGGTGTCAATGGATCACCAGATACTTTCTTCACTACTTTATAATACTGATTAAAGAGAGAAAATAACAATAATCACTACAAACTTCCCAAAATCCTCCTCACCTCTCTAGTTAGGCCTGCATTTTAACTACAGAACTACGTCTGATGTCATGTGACCCTCCCAGAATCCTCCTCACCTCTCCGGTCAGTAGGTAGATGATCTCCATTGTGAAGTTTAATATCTTCTCAGTCATGTGCCTTTGGATTTTGGACATCTTCATACAGCAGATGTGGTCATGTGATGCATTCAGGACTCCCCTCTCTGTCGATGGATAACAAACTGAGAATGATCTGGACTGTCCCGGGATGAATAATATCTACACAGAGTTCCTCCAGAGTTCTGACACCTCAGCCTGCTTCCTAAATTGTTTTTACAAATCTTGTAAATAAGTTTGGCTGAAAGTGTATCTAAAGCCAAGAACAATAATGTTCAGAGGACATTGATGTCTCCCTGACAGCCAACTCCACCAAAAGCGATCTGGACACATCTCTGCTGTGATTGGCGTTTAGGATCACATGACAGAGATAGGACAACCAGTCAGGTTATGGTGATGGGCCAAAGAGAGCCAACAATCCTACGCTAACTATCACTATCCATCAAGTCACCAAATCGGGATCTTCATCCTATGTCCTGTAGGATGACCAACCCTTCTCCTACCTTGATTACAACATGTACAGTACTGTAGATTAGTCGTCTTCTTCTCCATGTCCTCCTCCAGAGAAGACCTGCAGGACAATTCAAAACCGCATCATCAGCGACATTGTTACATTATGTCGCAACGGCTGTGATAAGAAATATTTTGGAGATCAGGAAACTGGTGGTAAATAAGATCTATTTCACCTTGGCGTAACTTGGTCTCAGCTAAGTGCCAACTACCACCCGTGTCCCGGTTCCGTGTTCCCTTCATATCATTGGTTGTCCACAGAGTAATTTGTGCCGATTCCAGTGCATCTTTGTGACAAATTCACGTAGATGTCTGACGTGTACAGGAATCTGTCGTACTCACCAATATTTGTCCTACGGGGTGGTGGAGACACTCTTCAGAAGATGGTCTTTGTGAATTCCCGGGGATGGTGTCCAATTTCTCCCAGTGACCAGAGCTAAGAACCCCGGGCCAGCTCTACGGAAGAGGAATAAACGGCTCTACATTTGGGAAGTATCTGGGTTGCAGATAAAAGACATCACAATGAATATGGAAGAAGTGGATGGGCAGTGTATCTGAAATGATATCTGATTGTCTCCTCTGCTGCCAGTTCCAGCAATGTCCTCCTCTCTACTTCCTCCCAAATCACCTCTCACCCGGAACTTCCTGTCTTTACTTCTCCATCACTTCCTGTCTGCTCCCTATATTATTTCCTGGTATCACTTTCTGTCTGCGCGGTCCTCTCTCAATGACTTAGGACACCTTGTGTAGAACATAAAAACTAAAGCCTGGGACGTTATTAAAAAGACAAGTCCATCGAGTTCAACCGACAGAGAATAGTGAGATTGTGCGTCAGAGGGAAGTGTCAGGGCTTGTTCACACCGAAAGCGTGTGCGTTTCAGAGCGGTTTTGCTACGCGTCCGATCGCACTGCGTGCGGGGGGCGTGGAAGCGGTGCCATTGAATACAATGCACCGCCACCTCCCTCCCGCCCCAAAACGCAAGGGGAAGTTTCTCACCGATGGCTCTGGAACGCACACGGTTTAGGTGTGAACAAGGCCTCAGGGAAGTTGTATATGTAACGTATGTGATATTCTCGGAAGGGACATTATAGATATAGTCCCCATGGAAGATGAAGCTCTTGTATCCTTCAACTAGCTTCTGAGAAGAAGCTTTTCGGCTGCTGCTTAAGCCAGGTGTGCACCGCTTCCTTCACTTCATCATCTGAGGTGAACCTGCCCCTGCCGCTTCCTTTTCTTCATTATCTGAGGTGAACCTGTGACCGCACCGCTTCCTTCACTTCATCATCTGAGGTGAACCTGCGACTGCGCCGCTTCCTTTACTTCATCATCTGAGGTGAACCTGCGACTGCGCCGCTTCCTTTACTTCATCATCTGAAGTGAACCTGCGACTGCGCCGCTTCCTTTACTTCATCATCTGAGGTGAACCTGCGACTGCGCCGCTTCCTTTACTTCATCATCTGAGGTGAACCTGCGACCGCGCTGCTTCCTTTACGTCATCATCTGAGGTGAACCTGCGACTGCGCCGCTTCCTTTACTTCATCATCTGAGGTGAACCTGCGACCGCGCTGCTTCCTTTACGTCATCATCTGAGGTGAACCTGCGACTGCGCCGCTTCCTTTACTTCATCATCTGAGGTGAACCTGCGACCGCGCTGCTTCCTTTACGTCATCATCTGAGGTGAACCTGCGACCGCACCGCTTCCTTTACTTCATCATCTGAGGTGAACCTGCGACCGCGCTGCTTCCTTTACGTCATCATCTGAGGTGAACCTGCGACTGCGCCGCTTCCTTTACTTCATCATCTGAGGTGAACCTGCGACTGCGCCGCTTCCTTTACTTCATCATCTGAGGTAAACCTGCGACTGCGCCGCTTCCTTTACTTCATCATCTGAAGTGAACCTGCGACCGCACAGCTTCCTTTACTTCATCATCTGAGGTGAACCTGTGACCGCACCCCTTCCTTTACTTCATCATCTGAGGTGAACCTCATCCTTCAAGGTCCCACCCCCAGTGCACACAATACTCATTCCGATAACCAATGGATGACTCTCTATGAACCGAGCTCATTCCCATCACCAATGGAGGACTCTCTATGAACTGAGCTCATTCCCATCACCAATGGATGACTCTCTATGATCTGAGCTCATTCCCATCACCAATGGATGACTCTCTATGATCTGAGCTCATTCCCATCACCAATGGAGGACTCTCTATGAACTGAGCTCATTCCCATCACCAATGGAGGACTCTCTATGAACTGAGCTCATTCCCATCACCAATGGAGGACTCTCTATGAAC